GCGGCCCAGGCGGCCTCCTGGTATCTCAACCACAGCGGGGACCTGAACCACCTCCCCGGCCACACGTTTGCGGCCCAGCAGCAGACTTTTCCCAACGTCCGGGAGATGTTCAACTCCCACCGGCTGGGGATTGAGAACTCGACCCTCGGGGAGCCCCAAGTGAGTGGCAACGCCAGCTGTCAGCTGCCCTACAGATCCACGCCGTCCCTCTACCGCCACGCCGCCCCCTATTCCTACGACTGCACGAAATACTGACGGGCCCCGGCCCCCTCGGCCTCGCCGCCCCGACGCCACCCTCTCGGACAGTGCAGGCTCGCAGAGACCAAAAAGAACCCAAACGCGCCCACCAGCTTTTTCTCAGACCCGGGAGCAGAGCGCGCGCGCCAGCCTCCGCCCTCTGGGAAGCTGCAGGTAACTTTAATTCGCCACCCTGTTTGTGAGAAGCCCCCGGTGAAGGGACGCGGCCCCAGGAAATGAATCTGAACGCCCCCCTCCCCTACCAGAATGGCTAAAGCTCTCCGCTCCATTGGGGTTTCCAAAATTAAGTTATGGACCAAATCCCATAGCGACCCAGTCAATGACTCTCTGTAGAGACCTCCATAGGTTTATGGGGATCTCTATAGATTTTGTATGTGCTGTGTGTAATTTTAAATTTCTCTAACCGTGCTGTACAAATGTGTGGATTTGTAATCAGGCTATTTTGTTGTTGTTGTTCAGAGCCATTAATATAATATTTAAAGTTGAGTTCACTGGATAATTTTCATCTTGCCCAACCATTTCTAACTGCCAAATTGAAAATTCATAAAATCTAAGTGGGGCTTTCCCCCCCCCTGTACAATTATGAGATATAATTCTTTTCCCAGTTGTAGGTCTTTTACAAAACAAGAAAATAATTTATTTGTTGTTGTTGTTGTTGGCTGAGAAAGAAGTCAAGTATCTGATACTTTTTATTTACAAAGTGTGATGGTTTTGTATAGTAGATTTCTCCCTGAGCATTCCTAAAAGAAAAAAAAAAAACTTTAAAAAATTTAACTTCACCTGTGTTTTGTCTTATGTGGTCTTAATTGTTGTACTTACCTTAAAATAAACCCATGTTGTTTTTCTGCCCAAAAAAACAAAAAAAACCCAAAAACCCAGTGTGTTTGTCTTCTCGAATTTAAAATAACAACCAAGATGGGTTTGCAGATCCATCTGTTTTGATTATTTGTGTTACACAGGTGGGTAAATGTGTAGACAGACATATATAGCCGATCACAGAAGAATGGGGCACTTCCCTATTATCTTGTTCGTGACAGAAAAGGCTTTCGATTAATTCGAAATTTCACCCTGGTCCAGGCAACCCAGAAGCAGTCCTGGGTGAACACGACTGCCTTGAGGACTACACGCCGTAAAATGTAATTTGCTGTAATGCATTTCGCTAAATGCAGAGAAACATGCCAAACATGACTGTTTGTCAAAGCAAACAGTGCCATTCCATCGGACTGTCCATCCGTCCCCAATTTAAGAAGGGAAGGAAAAGTATTTTCGGTTAGCTAACTGCAAACCAGGGGGAGTCCTGCTTTCCCTGGATTTCCTAAAATGCGGACTCCCTTACCTACTCTGATGGTTTTCCAGAGAAGAATTTGAACTGGGCTAGTGGAAGTCCAAAGGGGACTGAGTCTGTAGCGTTTCATGACCATCCTGATAGTGGCCGGATCAGAGGTGGATTTCAGATATCTTTACTTCTGGATTTGATTTCTAAATCTTTACCCTATTGCAGTGAAAGATCTTAAAGCTACGTTGCCCTTCAAAAGTAATTTTCAATGCGTTGAGTTCTAAATGTATCAACCTTTTCAGACTTTAAAGAACAGGGAGGTTGTTTTTCTTTTCAATTTTGATATCTCCTCGTTTAAATTTTTAATAGCAACACAGCTCTTGTGAGCCGTGGCCAAGGGGAAATGACTTTGTCATCTGTTTCACTGGCTGAAACCCACAACTCTCCTGCCGGTCTCTGTGTCTGAATTTTGAGGCCCGAGCTCCAAACTGGGGAATGTTTCCCACTCCGGCAGGTGAGCTCACCAAGGCTTCTTGTGAACGGAACATTTCAGGCCAGGATGATTTCCCAAAAGCTGATTTTCCTTAATGCAGTGGCGTGGAACATAACCTGGATGTCGTCGTATTGTTGTTTTAAACGTGGCATTTTTGTCTCCGTTATGCTGAGATAGAATTGGGGGAAGTTTGAACATAATAATTTCCCCATAGCTGTGACACCGATTCTTTCAGTCTGTGGCCCCAGAGGTGGCATGTAGTTAAAAAGTCGAATTTTATTCCTTTTCCTAATGCTCAGTACCCCACGCTCCACTCCAGCAGGCCCCCAGGCCACATTGCTTTGGTTGAGTGAGCTGGACCAGCCAGCTACAGAAGGAGAGAGAGAGAGGGAGAGAAAGGGAGGGAGGGAGAGAGAAAGCAGGAGAGAGAGACCCCCTCTCTGAGCTGCAGAAAGAGCCAGCCCAGCTCCTCGCCCAGCTCTGGCCCTCCGGTTTCATTTCGCTCCTGTTTCATTTATGCTGTTTGCGCAGGAGAAGAAGAGAGAAGTCTAGCCGACTTTCTCCCTCCTCAGGTGTTTCAAAGCGTCCGCTCAGAAAGATTGCCCTCATCTTAAGTTTTGGCACTCAGACCAGGTCTGAGACGCAGGGCGAATAAAGGAGAGAGAAATGTGATGGAGCGGGGCCAGAGGCCCGCGCAGCCTCTGAAACTGCCCTGGATCTTCTACCTTCCGAGAGCTTCTTAAAGAAGTCCCCGCTGTGTGTGGGCCATTCACCAGAGTGGGTAGCTCAAGGTTTCCCCCAGTTGGGTGGAGACCGTGGTGAGGGAATGTGGGCAACTTGGGGGATTGCGTTTGGGGCTTTATCCAGGCCGCAGTGTGGAGGGCTGGGGTGTGTAGGGTCATCTCCCAATCTCTCAGTCTGAAGCCCTAGGGACCAAGGTAGGTGCTGGTCAGTGCCAGAAGGCCAGCCAGTGCGCTGGATGCTGAGCTCAGAGCTGGCTCAGCCCAGCCTTCACGGCCCCCCGATGTGGACCTGGGGCCTCAGGGCTTGGTGGCAGCCTCAGGGCGTCTGTTTCTCCCCTTGGAGTGGGGAGATCCCCAAGCACACACCTTGAGCAGCAGGGAGCCCAGGCACTGGCTGGGCTGCTTTTCTTGACTTCTCAGCACCCTGCAGGTCTGCTGCCTGGGCACACAGACTGGTGCCCCGCACAGGTTGTCTGCTTCTCCAGTCCACTTGCTGCCCCTTCCTTCCAACAGTCGGTCCTTGGGAGGCCCAGGGCCTTTCAGGAAAAGGGGAAAGGAGAGCCAGGATGGAAGGGCCTGAAAGGCCCTAGCAGGCTGCTGGGCCTCAGGGCTTGGCGGCTCTGTGGTCCCTCAGAATGCAGTTTGCATAAAGCCATGTCTGATGACCATGTTCCTTCGTGACCTAATAAGACACAGTCCTGCAGGTCTCAAAGATACTGCAAATAACTTGGAAGCAACTCGAAGACCACGGCTGAAACCATTTCCCTCGAAGCTGACCCTGTGTCTCCAACTGGCCTCGGCTGGGCGGACTGTGTGGCTGAACAGTGTTCGGTTTTGACAGACACGGGCAGCCTGGAGAGACCCTGTGGCCTCTGAGCACCGAGCGTTCCCAGCTCCAGAGAGGCTGCAGCTGGAGTAGCCTCTGCTTCTTGTAAGACTTGGAGAGATGCCCCAACCTCATCTTTCAGGGAGAAAGGACTGCTGGTGCGCCACCCATCCCCAACCTCTCTTCCAAGGCTAGGCGTGGGTCTGTGGCTGGCTGGACCTTCCCGCCCTGGATCCAGTGGCCTGTCCCTGTGACCAGAATCAGTGGTGACTTGCATCCTGGAATCGCTGGAGTTCTGGGTTAGGAACTGGAAGAGCACATCTTGGCTGTGTGAACAAACGCTTCCCCTCCCTGGCCTGGGTCTTCTCATCTGTAGCATGACCAGGTGAGTGCAAGGGCATTTCGGGCAGCCCAGCACTTTCCCTCCCAGCACTGCAGGGCCCGGGCTCCTGCCGAGGGCCCTCGATTATCCCCTCTCCCCTTCCCTGTCGGTAAGAAGTGAAGATCCTATGTTGGAGGGAAGAAAACACAGGGTCCTGGGAACTTCAGCACTCGGCTCATAAATCTTTCGGGGTCCATCTCCTCCGCTCTACCCCAACACTGCCTGGGGGTCACCTCTGGGCCTGGGAGAGGCGTGTGAGCTGCACTCAAAGCACAGAGAGCAGAGTTCCCAGGTCCCCCTCTGAAAAAAACAAGCCCTGGCGGCTGAGCACTCGCCTCCTAGCTCCTCTCCCCACCCCAAATCCAAAACACTGGACAGGGTCTTGGGCAAGTTTGGCCCAATGGGAATTTATTGATAACCATAAACCTGAGGTGGGTGGACAGAGAGTGACACCGAGAAAAAACACCCTTGATTAATGCGCAGAACTAAGTTTCTTGAGACTGTGCTGGGGCCTTGGAGCCTGTGCCTGGCACCTCGCAGAATGTGTGTCCGGGCTCGTCCCTGGACAGTACACTGCTGACTCTAGTGTGGTGGGAATGGACAAGTAGAGATCTGAGGGTTTATGCCTTAGTGTCAGCCAGGCCAGGGACCCAGGGATGGCTGTGGGGCTGGACTCCAGGTGAGCAGGACACACTGGGTTGAAGCCACCAGTGACTCTGGCACCACATACTTGAAATGCTTTCCCAAACTTCGAGAAGCATTCCCTGCCTGCCTATTTCTTGCGTGGCCTCAGCTCGCCAAGGCGTTTGATGTTTGCTTTTTGACATAGGCATGTGAGGAAGGGGGTGGAATATTTTAGGGAGCTTGGAAGGCTGAGCAGCCACAGTCCGGCCAGCCACTGTGCCTGGGAAGACGCCACCGCCTGGACTTGTGCAAGCCTTGCTCTGGCTTTTGCAACATGCCTGCGGTGTAGCGAAGGCAGAGGAGCATACCTTGTGTAGAGTTTGATTCTTGAATATGTCTCTCTGGTGCTATGGTTTTCCCAGCATCAGGCATATGGGAACTTTATCCCAGCGCTGTGAGGGTGTGAAAAGCTGCAGTGGAGGGAAGGGGATGGGTTGACAGATTGATGAGCTTGCTGGCATTGCAGGTCCCTGTAAGGGAATGGAGTTGGGGAGCACTGGAAGGGCTGTCCCTGGCTTCCTGAGCCTATGGTACAGCTTTGGGCTCAGTCTGTGCCCCCCCAGGCTGGGAGGTCATGGAGGCCAGAGAGACCCCTCTGACCCCTGATTCAGTGGCCCTTGGGCCTGGGGCTTCCCTTTCCCAGCAGCCCCTCTGGGCTCCCTCTGCCTTCGTGTTATTCTTGCAGGCAGGCTCCCCAGCAGAGCCTTTTTCTCTGAGCTGGATCCACAGGCCCCAGCCCCAGCTCCTGCCGGGGGGCCTTCTGCACGGGCCAGCTGAGGGCTCATTTGGCCTCGGGCAAGCTACCTTTAGCTCTCCAGGTTCCTTTCGCAACCGAAACAAAAGGATCACCGAGTAGCACTCTAGTGAAGATTAATGAACCCAGCGCACAACGAGAAAGTGCTTCAGCAGGGCCCAGTCCATAGATGGACTCACTGTTAGATGTTAGGATTTACCTGGATAACAGAAGAGAAAGGAATCTTGGTCTCAATTAACTGCATATATAAGGGTAAACTGCTTGGGCAGGCCAGTGTCTGTGCCCTAACTGCCCCTTTTTAGACCCTTTAAATCCCTTTGGGGAACAAAGTGAACTCTTAAAAAATTAGTAATTAGGAAAATCTCACCCTGTTCTGTGGGCTTCACTTAGCATCAGCTGACGGGCCAGCAGTTAACTTCATGGCTCAGTCCCCACCCCACGTCCCCATCTTGGAGAAGCAGCCAAAGACCCTGCTCCTCAGTCCTTTCAAAGGGGATGGGAAGATGGGAAGGGGAGGAGAGGGTCTTCTGGGTTATAGGATGTAAGTGAGGACTCATGGTTTCCTACTTATAATGCCCCAAATCTCCTAGCTCTGGTGGTGCCACATACCTCCCCTCTCTGGACGGCCCCTCCCTTTGCTTACTCCAGGCACATCTCTCAGAACCTCTGTGGACACATGAGGTTGTCAGACCTCAGAGAACCCCACCTTTGGAGGGGAAAAGCGTGGGTTCTGATCCCTGTTCTGCTATTTACTACCTACCATCTCTTGGGGTGTTCTGTGCCCAGCCTCAGTTTCATCATCTGTGGAATGGGCCAGCCCTCTGTCTTTCACAGATGCTGTGAGGGTTCTCGAGAGAACTGCCACAGGGCCCTTAGCGTCCACACACAACAGCTATTAAAATGTGGTGATTGTCCTGGCTTTGCAACACTCCCTCATGGAGGCCCTGGCCTTAGGTTCCAGGTCTGCCGAATAGGAACTGTAAAGATTTCTGTTTCTTAGGGTTGCTGTGAGGATGGGATGACCTAACACAAAGAAAGCACTTAGAATAGTGCTGCATATAATCGCCTCCAGTACATTATAGTTTTTAATAGTATTCTTAGGGTGATCATCTTTTCCAGTGTTTTCAGGATGTCAGTAAGGTGACCTGGCTGAGTAAGTCCTGCATCTTTCCACCCTCAGTCTTCTCGGACATATCACACATATGGTAGAATCAACCATATGCATAATTTGTTAGCTGTCTTCACACTTAGAAAGTGATGCACATATTTGGAGAGATGACACAGATCATCATTAATGTGACTGTCTGCTTTTTAATTTACCGGTGGAACAGAGGAAGGGTAGATGCCCTGGTAGTGAGCTGACAGCGATTGGAGGCCCCTTTGGTCCGGGTTGGTGTCTGGCCTCTGCCCAGCCTTGCCCAAGGAGAATGCTCACTCCCAAAAGGTAGGGTCTGGGAATGGTACTATCTGCCCTCATCCCACACTAAACCGGGGTTCTGCTGGGGCCCCAGAGTTGGAAGCAGTCCTTCCCTGAGCATCAGGGTACCTCAGGGCTTTCCTGCAGCCTGGGAGAGGTGCTCGCACTGACTTCAGACATGAATGCTCTTTTCTGGGATCTGAAGACAGAGAACTTTCAGCGTCTCCACCTGACTCTGTGGGACATCCACTCTGTTCGGCTGGCTGTCTCCCAGGCTCTGCTCACCCGCCTTCCTCCACCCGCGACGGCGGGCCTCCGCTCGGTCCTAACCCCACAGAGCTTCCGCACGAGGGCGCATCCGCTCTCAGACGTTGGCTCGAGCGCCTTGCGCTCCCCGGAAATTCGCCCCAGCGCGGTCCTTCCCACCGCAGTGACACACGCTCTTCATCCAGGAGCCCAGGACTCGTCTCCGTGGGGGAGCCGGGTTGGGGCGCCAGCCAGAGTCCTATGGCTGCGAGCTCTGGGAAACTGCAAACTTCAGCAAACGCGCGGGGCTAGTCGTGCCTCTCCAGACCGCGACTAGAACTTGGATTTTTCATTTTTCCCCCTTTACTATCAGTGCCCCGCCCACCGGGCGCGCTTGTCTCCGCCCGCGTCCGGCCCATGCCCAAATTGGGTGGTGTTTATGATTGCACGAATTCAAGCTCGGATTTGCCGTGGAGTTTAGGAGACGCGTCGCTGCGGCGCGCCTTTCGGGACAGGCAGGGATGTGCGTGCTGGACTCCGGGTGCCTGGGAAGCTCCGGGAAGGGCTCAGGGTGCGGAGGTGGGGGGTGGGGGTGCGTAGTGACACCAGTTTATCATTTGTTCTGGGTCTGTTAGAGCGGGCGCCAAGGCTGGAAACCGAGCCGGATCCCAACTTGAATTTGCTGGGGGCGCGCAGATCTGGAGAGGTTGGGGAGCCGGGGAGGGGGGAAGGTGGGACCGCGGGTTGCAAATGCGCCGCATTGAGGCCATTTTTCCGCTCCAGGGTTGAAAGAGGTGCTTTGGTGAGAGCCAGAGATGCGGAGAGGACAGCGCCCCGCCTCCTCTAGGCCAGAGGGCCACCCTGGAGACGCAGGCCCGGGTAGGCCAGGCCGAACGGTTGGCCTGCGTTAGAAACGCAGCGCCTGGACCGAGGCTTGGAGGTGTGTCCCAGGGCCTGGCCTTGGCGCTCCCTCAGACCGCGCCTGCACCCAAACCGGTCTTTCCACCCTAATTGCCACGTCCTTTTAGGTATTTCAAACGTATCCGCTCCCCGCGCCTCGCAGGCTATCCCGAACCCCCAACCTTTTGGACTCCCTGTTTTGGGGCGAGATTCGCTTCCTAAGAGCTCTCAACCAGTCTGCTGCATGGTGTCGCCTGTCCCTGACAGCAGCTGCGGCAGACCCCCGCGCGCCTCCCCTTAACGCACGTTGAGCGCTCCTCTCTCCATTCCCGGGGAGCCATTCGTGGGCTGTTTCTACGCCCACCTGCCTCCCCACTCCTCCCTTTGCTCTTGGGCATCGAGGCCGAGTTACTCAATGGAACGCTAATTCAGTTATCCCCAGGACTTTTTATTTTTTCTTTTAAAAAATATTCATCAGAGATCATAAACAGGAACTAGTCACGCTACATGCCGCCCCCCAGCCCCCCAATGCAGAACACCTCCAACGGAATCAGCATCATCCAGAGATTTTTATTCAGATTCTGACATGGCTAAATGTAAAATGCATGGGGGGGGGAGTGTGCTTGCACCCCAGGGTGAGTGGGTGGGTCGGGGGAGACCAAGCAGGCTTTCCAAATGCTTAATGTAATCACGGGCCAGCTGCGTGCACTTGTAAAGTTGTTATAACCCCCCTCCTTGTTATAAACAGGAAAGCGCAGAGTATAAAGCAAGAGACCCGCATTCACAAATACCAGCTCTCCCAGCCAGCTGCCAAATTCCCCTTTTATGGTGTTCCTTGCTTGCAACCTCAGTCCCATCAGAAAGACCTTAGTTTCCCCCCCTGAACTCTCCAATCGGGTTTATTTTTAAAGTTCCCTCCACCGAGCTGTGGACCAGGTAACCCACACTCTTCCCCAGCTCCCCGGTACCATACGCTTTGGGTTCAGGAACAGTTGGGCTCCAGGAGTCCTGTTCCCCGGGGTCCTTGGAGGTCGAGGCTTGCTGCCTCTGGGATCCTAGCCACCCAGCAGGGCTCTGACTCCCGCGGGGCATGCCCCAGACCTGCCTGGGAGGACTGCAGCCCTTTCTCAACAGGGTCCCAAACCTCTTAGATGGAGACGCCTCTGCCCACAACATATGTAACAGCTTTCAAAGACCTAGGAAGGCATCTTGTGAGACTGTGCCATCCCTACCTCTCCTATGAAGCCTGGGAGAAGAAAAGACCTTTTGTGGGGAGGCCCGGCTGGTGGCGGGGGACTCCCCCAGGT